AACATGAAACAAGAACATACTATCTTGTCTTTACTGCTTACACCCCTTAATCTATGATACACTAAAAATGTCAGTAATGCGTTTAATATCTTAATAACGTTATTAAATATGGGTTCGAGGTTACCTAATAACGTATCCCGAAAGTCATTTAATCTAAGATGAAATTAAATCAACTCTCCACATTTAAGCTTGATGAGTTTAGCTAATGCTTAATTTTCGGAGGTTTAATTTTGATCCAGAAAGTAACTATAGAATTCTGATCCGTTCAGATAAACTGGATCTATTACAAGATGAGGATCCATGTGGGTCTCATGATATCAAACTAGTTATATATTTACTTAATACCATTTAAGAATCCTTATGGCTTTTTCAAAGTGGGACGAGCCAAACTACCAAATAAAATTGAATCTAATTTTCGCGAGATAAACGAAGTAGCCAGATCATATTTTACGAAAGGTTTACAAGACTCTAAGAACGATTTAGTACTGTAACTCCTAGGTTGTGATTATGTGAGTGTACGGGCAAGTATAGTGTCTTGCGAATTTATATAATCACTGCTACTATAAGAAGAAGACATGCCTTACAAACCAGTAGGGTGTCGTCCCTATAGAGGGACATTGGGAACTAGAGTATTGGCTAAATGAAAAATCAATAACAGGAGTTTCTTCGTCAGCATTTCCTTATATGCTGAGCCAAGAATCGTACTTGTACCTCTTTCTAATAAGGGCAACACCGTCTAACTTCCAAAAGACATTCGTACAAATATCAAACACATCACGTCATGAACATAAACATAAATACACTATATGAACATTATTATTATTAGCACAGTATGAACATTAATATTAGCACATTATGAACATAAATACCAGCTCAATATATGAGCATAGCTATTAGCACACTATATGAACATAACTATTAGTACACCATAAACATAAGCACTAACATACGATGAATACAAACACTAGAACACCTTAAATGTAAGTACCGGCGCACAACGAACATTATTTTATCAGCACACTATGAAAAGTACCAACATATTATGAACATAACTGTTAGTATACTAATATGAGTATTAGCACACTATGAACATAAGTGCCAGCAGAAGATGAACATAACTATTAGCACATTGTATGAACATAACTATTAGCAATTTATGTTTACTAAATATTAGCATATGATGAGCAGACTTATTAGCGCAATATATGCACATTATCTCATAAGTATTGATAAACAACGAACATGAGTATTAGCACACTATGAAATAACTATTAGTACACTGTGAACAAAAGATCATGTCCTTGTCAAATACTTTTATACTGAAAAATACGGCAGACGATTAGCAGACAGATACATAAATTAACAGTTCTTGTGCTCTTCGCGTTGGAGACGGCTTGAATGGGTAATGAAGAAAAACTTCAATATTAGTCTAACATAACAGCAAATGTACAACGTTTCGACAAGGTTTTGTCATCATCAGGTACAAGTCTCAAAGTGGGTTCCTCGTCATCGAATTTCACCAGTAAAATCAAGCTAGTATTGACATTACATCATTGTGACCCATTACATTTTCGAACCATTCGTTTGACCTTTATTACTACATAATCAGACCAGCGCCATCACGAAACTAACTTAAAATATGTATAATAGGCCCAATGTCATTCCGAAAATAATTTAAACTTTTTTATAATCAGACCAATGCCATCACGAAACTAACTTAACCTATATATAAGCAGACCAATGTCATTACGAAACTATCTTACACTATGTATAATAAGACCAATGTCATTATGAAACTAACTTAAACTATGTATATTCATGATGTTGAAAAAACACGTAGGTTCAAAAAGTATTGATAGAATTGAATAAAAACCCTATAACCCGAGCGCTTTCGAAAGGTGGACCTTTCTTATTCAAGGGCAAACTGGGAATGGTGGTGTAATTGAATGAGTGATATATATAAAGGAAGTTTAGTGACGTCATTAAGGTAATCTGGTTTTCCAGGAAATGTTTAGTGTATTTCTCTATGTACTGTTATAAGCATCTCATTTCCGGTACAATGTAGCCGATGGCGAGAGCGTGTGTGAAAAGGTGTTAGGGATATTTTACTTTAGAAATGGATAAATATATGTATATTTAAAACTATACTTAAGTGTTTAAGTAAAATAAAGGTGACACCTGGAGACTGATTGAAAAAGATATCTTATGTTAATAAATATATAAAAACAAGTATGAAAAATTATCTTAAATAAATAGTAAGTTTTAGGAAATTCAGCATTCACACTAGATGAAAAAAATAAGCAAAGAATAAAAATTATTTTTCTGGCAGAGATTAAACCAATGAACAGAAATCACTGATTCCAGGTAGTAGATTAATTCCGAAAGGTTGAACAGTGTTTAGATTACTAATCCAATAAGCTTCTTTTATTTCTCTATCTGCTTTCGTTTTGAATCCTGTTTCAATGACGATGATAGTAACATCATTAATGTAATGACCGGGTTGGTTAAAGTGTTGAGCAACAGGAGGATCTTTTTTGGTGTTAATAGAAGATTTATGGTTGTTGAAACGGTCTCTAAGAGTTGTTTGTGTATGTCCTACATATTGGTAATTGCATTTTTTACACTGTTTAAGGAAAATGGTGTTTGTTGTTTCACAAGTGATTTCTTTGGATATTTTAAAGTTTCTTTGATTGTGCTTGTCAGAAAATGAGTTAGTTGTTTTTATGAACTTACAGGTTTGACAACAAGCTTTATTACATTGATGACAACTATTCTGGAGTGGGATGTAATTCGCTTTTGTGTGAACAAGGATATCATTTAGAGTTCTGCCTTTTCGGAAGGAGACAACGGGAACTTCAGGAAATATCTGTTTAAGATGATCATTCAGTAGTAGAAGATGAAAATGTTTTTTTCAGAATTCGTGAAACGTTTCTGAGTTTAAAGTGATAGGTAATAATAAGAGTAATTCTATTTGAAAGTTTTAGTATTGTTCTGGTTTAGGATGTTTTTCTGCTGAGTGTTGTTAGCCTTTTCAATTTGTCTGTCGATATTGGTATCTTTATATCCTCTTTGTAACATGGTTTGTTTTAGATCCTTGGTGTGTTTTCTGTAGTCTGTTTCATCTGAGCATATTTTCTTTATTCGAAGAGCTTGACTGTGGTAATGTTTCGTTTAGTGTGAGAGGGGTGACAGCTTTTATAGTGAAGGTATTGTAGTCTGTCTGTAGGTTTTTTGTACAAGTCAATGTGTAAAATTCCGTGGCATCAAGAAAGTTAATCTGGGTTGGCGAGTAATCACTTTATATAATCAGGCCAATGTCATTACAAAACTAGCTTAAACTATAAAAATCAGACCAATGTCATTACAAAACTAGCTTAAACTATAAAAATCAGACCAACGTCATTACAAAACTAGCTTAAACTATAAAAATCAGACCAACGTCATTACAAAACTAGCTTAAACTATAAAAATCAGACCAACGTCATTACAAAACTAGCTTAAATTATAAAAATCAGACCGACGTCATTACAAAACTAGCTTAAACTATAAAAATCAGACCAACGTCATTACAAAACTAGCTTAAATTATAAAAATCAGACCGACGTCATTACAAAACTAGCTTAAACTATAAAAATCAGACCAACGTCATTACAAAACTAGCTTAAATTATAAAAATCAGACCAACGTCATTACGAAATTAACTTAACTTATCTGAGGTTTAATCAATAGTTACTCCAATTTCAAACATTCACTAATCAGGTTGTTTCAGTAGTTAGTGTTGTATAAGATATCTAATATAATTATTTGTCTATTTCAACGACGTGTGTATAGATTAAGCCGTACACTTGTTTATTTCAAGTGATGATAATGCGGGTTTACCGTAAGCCCACCATATATATTGAACTAAGTTCACGTGTGTTTATGTAATGTCTATTTAAATAAATAGAATATGATTTTCTAGACAAGCAATATTCATGAATACATGGACAGAGGGTTAATGAATATCTACACCGATATTATCAATGAATACCTGAAAAAAAAACAATATCCATGAATGAAAAGAACAACAATATTATTTGCTAAACACACAAAAAATGATCCCTCATCATATAGAACAGACAATATCCATAAAGTGACCCAAGCACACAATATTCATAGATATCTAAATAACAACTACATGTTTAGACTTGAATAATCATCATGTACACAAACATTAAATTAATAAGAACTTTAACTTCTTACCAAATAAAGAATAATAATCAACATTGTTTTAAAAATCAAATTAAACAAAAAACCCTTATTAAAAGTCATTTCATACATAAACAAAATTACCTGTGTAAAAGTAGCATATATGAATCCTTGCTCCATTCCGATAAAAAATACCAGTGGAAGCAGCAAAGGTTGATTAGGGTCAAACAACAATACGGCCATTTTTCTAAGAGCTCTTGACCACAGTGACCTCTCTAGAGGATCCTGATAAACATAGACTTCAAACTTATCCAACATGGTCGCCACCAGGGCAACTCCTGTAAGGACTAAGCCTAAGTAAATACTGACAAGCACGAAACTGGTATTTGATGGGAGAAGAAAAATGAAGTTTGGTGTACTTCTTAAAACTTCACCAGTTTGACATTCAACGTTACGGCAAAAAGATGGCCCCGTGACATCTCTTGACAAGGAAACAGACATCTGAGTATCGTGTAGCTGGTAGCTGACTGTCATTGATGGGGTGTGGTCATAATGGTGAAGTTTCTTTGTCATGTAGACATAGACGTCACCTGAGTACCGTAGAACCAGAGCTGTCAATAAGTTCCCTATAATGCGACTGAGGTTATACAAAAGGTAAAAAAGCCGCAAAAAGCGTTGCTGGACTTTCTCACGGATTTCTTCTGTCAAACACGTGATCTTGGATACCAAGTGCATGAGAAATGATGTTTGGGCGCTGAAAAGAGGTCCAAAAGTCAGTCCTACTAGAACAGCACTGGGAACAAGAGTGTAGAATCGAGGATAAAAGAAAGTGGAAGTGAACAGCGCCACCATGACGAAAGAGAGCGTGATGGCCCAGTTGGGAGTCACTTTGTGCACAAAAATCGGGGCATATAATGTTGAAATAACTGTTAGGCCGTAAACACAACACAATGCTTTTAGGCCTAGCGCACTTTGTTGAAACAGTGAGCTCTGAAGGCTTTGTAACGCTGAAAATGAGCTAAACACACAAGCGAAAGCTATCCCCAAGATTACAATGTTCTTTACTAACTGTCTTTCTGTAGTCACAGATCCTAGCTGATCTCCGTTTAAGTGGTTGTGAGTTTCGTCAAGAACTTCGGGAGCTTCGGCTGTTTTCGGTTTTAGTCGGTTCGAAGTGCAAATTCTTGGCCCCTCGTACCTGACTTCAATCGTCAATTGCTCGGTATTCTCCTTTGGCTTTGGACTCAGCAGCTGAGCCTCTTCGGGAGATTTACATCTTTCTACAGCTTTGGCAGCCATCTTTGTTTCCTTACGTCAACACGTAATGATTTTTATTTCTCTGTTGAGAAAGAAAAAAATCTCCTGGATGTTTTGCTTAAAAAGACATAAACAACTCACGGCTTTAAGCAGCCAATTGTTCACAAGACTTCCTTCGCAATCGATATTTTTAAATCAGATAAAGCGTGAAGATATTGCCAAAACAGAATTTCAGAAAGTTTTTTTTTGTTTGTTTATACACATACGATAATGAGGAACTGATGAAGCCAGTGTTCCAAAAATTCCGGACTAAAGCGACAGTTTCTTAATTCTAAAACTCAAACAAAACTGTGACGGGTTACATTTTTACACAAATAATGACGAACAAATCGTTTCTTTTATCCACGCAGGTTAGGTTTAGTTGACTACGGTACATCATACCTACGAAGAAAGAAGAAAAATGTATTACCAACAGGTTAAAAAACTTAGAACAAACTCCCCAAAACACTTGGAACTTTATTGAAAAAATATGACAAAGAGAAAAACGCATGTTAAGATTCTTTGAATTATGAACAGTAACGCTGAAGGCTGTGAAAAAAAACGGGTAATGCTATACTTAGTAAGGGAATATACTTCACAAACGTTTCCTAAACTTCTGAACAGTGTAAGCTAGATAAACATTCCTTAAATCTCTGTACAGCGTAAGCTAGACAAACGTTCCACAAAACTTCGTTCAGTGTAAGCTAGACAAACGTTCCACAAACTTCGTTCAGTGTAAGCTAGACAAACGTTCCTTAAATCTCTGTACAGTGTGAGCTAGACAAACGTTCCATAAAACTTCGTACAGTGTAAACTAGACAAACGTTCCTTAAATCTCTGTACAGTGTAAGCTAGACAAACGTTCCACAAACTTCGTTCAGTGTAAGCTAGACAAACGTTCCTTAAATCTCTGTATAGTGTAAGCTAGACAAACGTTTCTTAAATCTCTGTACAGTGTAAGCTAGGCAAACGTTCCACAAAACTTCGTTCAGTGTAAGCAAGACAAACGTTCCTTAAATCTCTGTACAGTGTAAGCTAGACAAACGTTCCTCAAATCTCTGTACAGTGTAAGCTAGACAAACGTTCCTTAAATCTCTGTACAGTGTAAGCTAGACAAACGTTCTTTAAATCTCTGTACAGTGTAAGCTAGACAAACGTTTCTTAAATCTCTGTACAGTGTAAGCTAGGCAAACGTTCCACAAAACTTCGTTCAGTGTGAGCTAGACAAACGTTCCATAAAACTTCGTACAGTGTAAACTAGACAAACGTTCCTTAAATCTCTGTACAGTGTAAGCTAGACAAACGCTCCATAAAATTTCGTACAGTGTAAGCTACGTAAACGTACCTTAAAATTCAGCATAACGTAAACTACGTAGATGCTCTTAAAATTTTTATATAGGGTAAGACTGTCATTTAGTTTCCTCACTATTTAATTTTTTAAGCTTCTTCGTGGTTTAGTTTCCTCACTATTTAATTTTTAAGCTTCTTCGTGGTTCAGTTTTCTCACTATTTAATTTTTAATCTTCTTCGTGGTTTAGTTTCCTCACTATTTAATTTTTAAGCTTCTTCGTGGTTTAGTTTCCTCACTATTTAATTTTTAATCTTCTTCGTGGTTTAGTTTCCTCACTATTTTTTTTTAAGCTTCTTCGTGGTTTAGTTTCCTCACTATTTAATTAAATAGTGAGGAAACTAAACCACGAAGAAGCTTAAAAATTTTTTAAGCTTCTTCGTGGTTTAGTTTCCTCACTATTTGATTTTTTAAGCTTCTTCGTGGTTTAGTTTTCTCACTATTTTATTTTTTCTAGTTTCTTTGTAATTAATTGCCCTCTCACGATTATATATTTCCCCCAAAGCACATTGGACTTTTCACAAAATTACAGTTGCTATAAGTTATTTATGATAGCTAGATGGGAAACAGAACAAACTAAGATAACTGAGAACAAAAACAAAGAACACAAAACTCTTTTTTCCAGACTTTATGTGCCAGTATAATGCAAACTGTTTTCCTAAGTACATCCAAGTTCCTTGTTTTCCAGTGTAAAATATTGTTTCAGACTGTCGAGGTTTCCAATATCGGAAAGTAACTAAAACCTCTGTGGAAACTGATCTTGGCAACCTCTTCCATGAGGACGAAGATGGATTTGTAAGAAAGCTTCACCCAGCTGTACTCCATTGCCAACTTAACTGGACTAACGAGACCGATATACAGCAGATAATGGTTTTATTATTGACTTTGAACCACATAAACCATGTGTTTATAATATTAAATGGTTAAAATTCAAAGAACTTGTGTAAATATTTAAATAATATTAAAATACTCAAACGATCAACGTTGTTTAGTACACAATTAAAATCTTTATTCTGAGACCGATCAACGATATTAAAAACCACTCTGCACATTTCTACGTCGATTCACGTCATACTAAGTAGCCCCCCCCCCCCCAGTGGTACAGCGGTATGTCTACGGACTTACAACGCTAGCATCCTCAGTAGTGTGAAAAATAAATAATGTGCCACCATATAAATACAAAAAGCCACGTCACATGACTACTTAGTTTCATACTTAAAAAAGATCATGCCATCTACACATTTTCTGATTTTCTAACTCTTCATCCATATTTAACGTATAATTATTTTACTGTGTTGCATTATTTCTATTGTTTCTCCAATATTTAAAACCTTAATATTATTCAATTGAGCCAAAACAATGTTTTTTTCCCCACTGGATTACATGACCAGTATAACTTTCATGTTCAGTTTCACTTTTGTTTTAACATTTCTCTTATGTTCATTTATTCTAAATTTTAAATTTATATTTGTGTAACCAATGTATACACATCCACATTAACATTCAATTTTATAAATACAATAAAGCCCAAAACCAAAAGCGTTGCACAATTGAAACTAAGGTTCAAACTACAAGTCGGATGAGATATCTTAGTGACAGAGGTGGTTGCTGAAGGAGGATCAATACAGCAGTAGGATACATCTCTATCAATCTTAATTTCTATTCGTAAGCCTCGCGTGTGAATTTTGTTTGTTGTTAAGCAGAAAGCTACACAATAGGCTATCTGTGCTCTGCTCACCACGGATATCGAAACCCGAATTTTAGTTTCGTAAGCACGTAGACTATCGCTAAGCTACTGGGGGAAGAGCCACATTGAATAAAAGATTATAAACATTAAAAGTCATATACGTTCCGGATTTGAAACTACCATTCTCCGTTTACAACCAGATGTGGGAATAGAATTACTCTCAAAGAAACAGAATAATAGATAATAAATAATATGGCCAGATATTACATTCAGTCCACTGAGGGCAATACGCAAGTTATATCTTCTGAAATTAGTATTCTAAACCCAACAATTGTCATTTATCTATACGAACAACATAATAACAATCGAGATGGTTAGATCAAATATTAGATTGATGAATTCAAGAATACATAAGATCAGTTTTTACAGTAGAAACTTCGGAGATAATGAGATGTTCCTGGATATTTATTTAGCGTTGGCTTTGATGACTTTATCAGTAGTGGCTCAGCTTTTTTTTTCTTCTTCTGATGTCCGGTTCACATCGGATGACATGGACATTGTTTTCAATGATATGATGTCTTGTTTCTGTGAGATGTTCATAAAATGCGAGGATCCTTTAAGATGTTCCTCATTTCTCTCCAGGTTTTTTTGTTATGAAAATGTTTATTTGAACTGCATTTGATTTTGTAGATGACCCCGTTGTTTTAATTTTTAGTGGAATAGTTGTTAGTGATAAGGTTCTTGATTTTAATACTTGTTTTTTTTATGATTGTGGTTTTATGTCGATGTTAAATAATCCAATTAGATGTTTGTTAATGTGTTTCACATAAGAAATTGTAGTGGTGATGAAGTTGAATTTTTCATCTTTTAAGACTTACCTGTTTTTTGTTTTTTGGATGTGTTGATTATGTTTAACAGCTTCTTCCGGATAGCTATTTTTGTTTTTTGGATGTGTCGATTATGTTTAACAGCTTCTTCCGGATAGCTGTTTTTGTGTTTTTTGGATGTGTCGATTATGTTTAACAGCTTTTTCCGGATAGCTATTTTTGTTTTTTGGATGTGTCGATTATGTTTAACAGCTTCTTCCGGATAGCTGTTTTTTTGTTTTTTGGATGTGTTGATTATGTTTAACAGCTTCTTCAGGATAGATATTTTTGTTTTTTGAATGTGTCGATTATGTTTAACAAATTATTCCGATAGCTATTTTTGTTTTTTGGATGTGTCGATTATGTTTAACAGCTTTTTCCGGATAGCTATTTTTGTTTTTTGGATGTGTCGATTATGTTTAACAGCTTCTTCCGGATAGCTATTTTTGTTTTTTGGATGTGTCGATTATGTTTAACAGCTTCTTCCGGATAGCTATTTTTAATGAAGATTTCAGAAATTCTTTATAGTTCATCGTCCAAATTGTTTCCAGAACATATATTATATGCTATTTGCATAATACACTTCCTAGTTTTTGTTGTACGGATTTCCAGTTAAGGTATTATTTTTCTATGAATTTTAGTCTCAATTTTTGATTGTTTTCTTATGATGGGAATGCTTAGAACGATTATGGGGAAATGTTCTTCGTTTTCAATTGTAAAATGAATATTGGGAGGATGTAGGTCTTTCATGTGGTTATAGAATCTTTGTGTTTCTTTGTCAGAATTGAATCCGCAGAAAACATTGTCGACATATCTCAACCAATATAAGGGTTTGGAGATGACCGTGTTTAAGGCCTGTTTTCTTTATAATGTCCCGCCGATATAGACACCGATGATTTGACAATTGGTGATGTCAGTGAATTTAAATTCGAACTTCGTGGTGAGGCTAAATAAGGTTTGACGAAGATGTGGACATTTTACGTTTTAGGTTTATGATAATTAGTACAATAGCAAATTGGAAGGTTTTATTCTCTTGGTATTTGGATATATAGATCTTGCACATCAAAACGTACCATTTTGTGTTTTGAATCCAATTTTGTTAAGGAGTCAATAGAATGTGAGGTGTTATTGATGGTGTTATCAAAGTTATTCTATGCTGAAATAATCCAGGTCAGATACTTGGTAATAGATAAAGGAAGAATATGTTGACTTTATGAAACGCGTTAGCCCCTCCCCCCCAGACGCTAGAAACCGGATTTCAATACCCGTGGAGGCAGAGCACGGATAGCCCATTGTGTAGCTTTGTGCTTAACTTCAAACTAACAAACTTCTTAGGTGTTTTATTAATTTTCGGCGGATCGTAAAGTTGAGGAGTTCTGTCATTAGCGCATTGTAACCAGCTTCTAAGCTCAGGGGTTTACGCAGCCTTTTTTGTCAAGTACTTTTGGAAGTTTGTTCATTTCTAAACTCAGGGGTTACGCAGCCTTTTTTGTCAAGTACT